TGTAAATTAGAAACAGCTCATTTAATTTTTTAATCTAACATACCCTCAAATTTCAGCTTTTTGCAAATTCAGATATGAAGTGGGGAAGATGAATAACATATTTTAACTGTGCAACATTTTCTGTTTGACTGGGAATAGTGTGATTGTTTAAGATTGATACCCTACCAAGGCTTTGGCATCTATCTTTGCACTAACTAGATAAAAGTGTGAGCAGTAATTGCATGGGAAAATTGCTGAATTTTCTCTTTCTTTCTACCACTCCTCCCTCCCCTCCCCACACCACCAACCAACCCCAATGTTATGTAGAAATACTATTTGTCATTTAGCTCCGATATGCCAAAATTGCATTACTTGGGAGTTGTTTTTTGTTTGTTTGTTTGTTTGTTTTTTATAAAACAGAAACTAGCTCTGTTGTAAATTCTCCTGCCTCAGCCTCCTAGCTGGAAATATAGGCGCACAGCACCATGCCAGCTCTGTTTTGTTTCACTTTAAAGGCAGGGTCTCACTAGGTTGCTCTGACCAGCCTTGAGCTTATGATCCTCCTGAGATGCAGGGATTACAGGTACATACCACCTCATCCAGCATTTAGGTTGGACTGGAAATGGAACCTGGACCTCTCATGTGGTCCCAGCATGTGGAGCATAGTGTATTAACAGTGTATGCAGCTGTACTTGGGCCTCTGAAGAAACATACTGTTACTAATTTAGTTTTGAAGCACAAACTTGAGTATTACTCAAGAGATTTAGATAGACTTTAAAATGTATTTCAGCAATATGGAAAAATGTTACTAGTTGAATAATTTAAAGATTTCAGCTTTATAAACGACATCTTAATTTAAATAGTAAGGTTGTATTCTTTTTCAATTTTCTGTATACTAGGAATGTTTGGGTTTCTAGATGATATGTAATTAATTTTGCAGACATAATCTTTCTATTAGAAAACTTCTTTCAGATAAAACTGTTTAACTTCTATTAGATGGAAAAGTTTGTTTCACTTTTAGAATTTGACATGTAAGTCTTCTGTAGAAGAAATAATATTCTTTTTTTTTTTAAAGAACAAGGTCCCACTATGTTGTCCAGGCTGGCTTTGACCTTACCGTCTTCCTGGCCTAGCCTCTCAGATAGGTGGGGTCACAGGCACATACCACCATACCTGGCTGAGATTAAATTTTTAGATGTAATTTTTCTCTTTGACTTCATGTAGTTGAGTCCCAAGACGCATTTGACTCTATTTTGATCAGTCCCATAACTAGTTAGTTGAGCACTAGTGAGTTTGGGTTGCATCTGAACATTTAAGTCCCAGGGCTCCTTGTAGCATCTGCAACTTTTTAAATATATGTGATTGGTTAGATAATAAAGTGTGGTTGCTTCAGCACAAACCAGATGGTAAAACAGTTCAGATTTTAGACTCACTGCAAAGTGGAGCAATTGTTCACATATAGGGTATGATTTGCTATATAATAAATTCATGCTTATATTTTTCTGCTTATTTAAAAAAAATAAAAGGATTCAGAATCTAGTGCAGTTGAGATCAGTACCAAAACTCTTATGAGGACATTTATTTGTCTTTACTTGAGGTAAATAACTTGAATACCTTAGTAATATTGGCATATAGGGTTTATCATAATTTTGGCATCTGTGGTTAATGTATGTCATGAATGTTTTATGTCTCTGTGGATTTCATCATACTCAAAATGGTAACACATACTGAATTCTAGCTGATATGTTTGCTTTTCACAGTGATATGATTAGCACTAGTGAAACTACTTTTCGTACCGTCTGAGTTTTAGCAAGTAAGTGAATATATTGAAGTGAGTAGAAGCCAGATTTCTCACTGTTGGAAAAGGAAGTAATAAATATATAAGGGGTAATAATGGAATTGGAAGTATCAATATGAATTCATAATTTGTGATAGGTAGATATGCATCTACTCATGAGAAAATACCAGCTTAATTCAAACTGAGTAATATTTTACAGTATAACTCAATTGCATTTTAAAAACCTGTCAAGGTCAAGAATTACAAAGAGAACAAAAATGGCAGAATAGGAAACTTCAAAACTACATCCCTCCATTAAACCAGTGATTTAACTGAAAAAAAAAAAATAGTCAAATCAACTTGTTCAGATCTCTGGAATTTAATCAAAGACTTGCAAAAAATTTTTAAAAGAACAGTCTATTTTAACTTACCTGGTGACCATTCCCCACTCCCAGGAAGGTGGCAGGCCTTAAGACATGGCCTGTGTTGCTGGTATAACTTGCTGGTGCCCGAAGGAGCACTGCAGACCTCATCCTTGGAGAAATGTGGGTGTGGGCATCCACCTGTTTGTGACTCCCTGAGGAATTAGCTTGGGGGCCTGCCTTTGTTTTGCCTGCCTCAGAGCAGTTTTGGGACTTAGGCTACATTTTTCAAAATAATTTATAGGTAAATAAAACCAAACAGCCTGGATCAAGAAACAGACAAACCAAAAAGCTTAGGAAGGAAGAAGCTGTGTAAAGACAAACATGGGAGAACAAGGGTTTAAAAATGCTTCATCGTGTACTGGGGAATCTGAAAGGCCCATGACTGAATGAATGCTCAGAAGAAACCTTAGGAGACCCTAAGCTTTCTCATTTGGCTGACTTTTAGGTTCCATGCAGGTGGGAATCTAAAGCTAAGGCTGGCTAAGCATTAAATACGTGCCCAATACAAGGCCAGTATGCCAAGACCTGGAGGGGCAGCCCCCTCTGGCTCCAAGCATTTAAAGAAATGTTTGTCTTACTACTAACTGATCACTAAGGTAAAAAAACAGACTGAGTGAACACGTGTGTAAAAGAACACCGTCATTGCAAACAAAATGCAAAGAAGTCATAAAGTAACTATAGTCCACAATAAGCAGCAACAATGAACCCTGAAGAAAGAGGAGAATCTGATTTTCTGAGTTAGCCCATAGTAATATACAAAATGCCCAGTTTTTAATGAGAAAAATGCATGCATAGAAACAATAAAGTTTGGCTCAGTCACAGAAAAAAAAAGAAGAAAGTATCCTTGAGGAAGCACAGATGTTATGCTCAAAGACTAAATCAGCTTTGTTAATTATAGTCAAGTAGAAACACACACACACACACAACAAGAAACAAGGAGAATGATGTGTAAACTAATAGAGAACATCAATAAAGAGAAATTATACAATGGCACCAAATAGAAATTCTGGAACAGAAAAGTACATAGCCAAGATGAAAAATTTACTAGAGGAGTCCAGCTAGCAAATTTGAGCAGGCAGAAGAGAATTAGTGAACTTGAAGATGTGTCCTTCGAATTAAAGTACTCAGACAAGTATTTGTACATGAATGTGGATGGGAGTACTATGCACAAGAGCCAAGAGATGAAAATAAAACCCAGATATTCTTCAACATATGAATGGATGAGCAAACTGTACTATATGCTTACAATGGAATGTTATTTGGCAATGAAAAGAAATTAAGTACTGATTCAAACTACAACATCGGTGAACCAAATTGTGTTAAGTCAAAGAAACCAAACACAAAAGGCCCACATATGGTGTGGCTAAATGGTTATTAAAATGATTGATATTATCTGAATTTTACCATAATCAAAAATAACTTCAGAAAGAAAAAAAAATGACAAAGAAAGGCCATTTCAGATTTCTAGAGATGAAAAGATATATGACGATTAAATGTAGTTGATTATAGATTGCATTCTGGTATGGGGGGTGGGGCGTAGCTGTAAGGGAAACTATTGGGAGAGTTGACTAAATTTGAAATGGAGTAGATAACAGTATCAGGATACTGCAAAAGTTTATAGAAAAAAAATGAAAGTATGAATTTATTTTGGCACAGAAAATTTGAAATCCATGCATAGTTTTTTCATAATATGCAATATCACTTATGTCAATATTAAATGTCCTGGTTTAATTAAACTTACACTGTAGTTTTTAAGAGAATGTCTTTGTTCATAAGAAATACATGTTGAAGTATTGCAGTGTAAATGGACATAATGTCTCTAAGTTACTTTCAAAGTGGTGCCAAGAAAAAAATATATATCTCTATTAAAAAAATAAAGCAAATGAGACAATATGTAAACTGTTAGTGAAACTGAGTATGAAGTTTATGGTAGTTCCTTATGTTAATCTTTCAACTTTTCTGTGAATTTGAAATTATATCAAATCAAAAGTTACCAACAAAATTCCATTCATCTTTTATCTTCTGAACAGTAGTGTGGTCCAGGGAATTGTTAGGAAAAAATGTGGGATATGCTTCTTTGTCTTTGATACTTTATTTCACTCTGTCGTTTCTCAACTTCTGGCTCCCAATATATTATTTATTTCACTTGCTTATAACCATCTTCCCATAACATTATTATATAATTATTATTAAGTACTCCTCTTCTATGCACATTCATTGTTCTGACTAGTAATGATATGCCTTTGGGGCCTGTTCTCATTTTGAGTAGTTCCTATTTGAATAATTTACTTTCACAGTATCTTGGATAATATATAAAAAAGTAAATATTTGATTTTGTTATTTGAAAATTTTACATATTATCTTCCTGGAGAAAGGCTTTGCTGCTCTATTTCTAGTCCAATACCTTTTTTGTCTCAAATTTACATTTCTTGATAGACGATCAATTAGGTGGGGATCTAGCCTCAATTACAGCATATTGGACTAGGTGCTCTTTTTGTTGTCAACTCAGAGAAGTAATCTCTCAACACTGTCATGCAGTACCTTGCCTTCTATAAGCCACAAATGAAGTCAGAGAAGCTCTTTGTTAAGTAGAAGCTACCATCATCCAAACCTAGTACTGTTTTGTTGGTATTCAGTTATGGATTTTACCTGTCCATGATTACTATTTCTTATAAACAGTCAAATATCCAATAGAAGCCCTTTTTAATTATTAAGAGGATTATGCATCCCGACTTCATGACGATTCACTTGGTACTTGCGTTTTCAATTTGGTTAACCCGTTTTCTTTCCTTTGTGGTGTATGATGGGATCTCCACTAGACAGAGGTAACCATAGGATAGTGGTGTACCTGGATGCTGGTGTGGTGGTGCTTGTTGGTTTACTTTTCTTCCAGAAGTTATGCCTGCAGTGCTGCCTCTTACTTTGTGCTTGCATGACCTTATTACTTTGATTGCGCTTTGTTGGTTTGAGTTTTTAAACCTGTTTCTTTTTTCAGTATTCAGAGTAATTCCTCAAATATCTTGGTTGGTCAACTTATGGAAATTAGTTCCAAGTCCAGCTCATCTGTGGATCCTTTTCAGCTTTTGAAAATATCTTCAGTGTCAGCACTAAGTTTATGCTTGGGCTAGGAATTTAGAAAACAGGTTAGGTTTGCTTATATACCCACAAAGAGACCACTTGCCAGACAGGCCATTACTGAAGCTGAGAATGAACTCTCTTTGTGAAATTTATAGATTAAAGTAAATAAATATGTATTTAGAGTAAGAGCTAAGTTCAAAGAAACCATTTCATTAAATAGGTGAAATTTAGGAACTTCTGCTAAGGTAAACATGATTAAATTCATTGTGTCTAGAACTTGGTGTGTATGTTTGGTTTGGCATTACATTCAGTGATGCTGTTTATTCTGTATTCTACACTAAGAGTCTTGAGACATAAGATAAAAATTTAAATTATTATTTCAGAAGTTAATCTTCTGAGCATGTGTATGGGCCATGGAAATACAATTGGTCCTCATTATCTATAGGGGGTTGTTTCCAGGACCCAATGGAACCCCACATCTGCAGATATGCCAATCCTTACATAAAACAGCCTAGTAGTATGGTCAGTTCTCCACATCCATGGGTTCTTTATGTAGATATGGAGGGCTGACTAGTTGCTTGGCTCTTCATCGCTGATTACTAGCAGTGTAGTTTTTCTTGGGCAATTAGAACTAATTTCCTTTTTAGTTTTTGGTGGGTTTTTTATTTTTAATTATATTATATATACCTCTGTAGAAGAAGATAGGTTGTTTTTAAAACTAAGAAAAACAGTTTTGAAGTGGGCTGGTCTATATGGCGGGGGTTACAAAATCGAAATCATTTTCTAATGTTCATATTAAACCAGTGTTGAAATAAAAATCATCAACTTTGGTTTTGGAATTTTCATCTTGAAAACTGTAAAGGATCCATTGATTTTTGAATGGCCATCAGAGAAATGCATATGTTAAATAGCATATAACTGTCAGGTAAATGATGATTCATCTCTTAATGTTTATGTTCTAATTCAGTTGTATCTTCTTTTTATCTTTTGGTGGGACCCATGCATTTAATAGAAAATTTCCCAGGAACGAGAGAAATTTGCTGATGAAGGCAGTATATTTTACACCCTTGGAGAATGTGGGCTTATATCTTTTTCAGACTACATTTTCCTTACAACGGTTCTTTCCAGTAAGTATAAACTGTTCATTTTATTTGTTCGGAGGGAGCACATAGGGCTGTAAAAGGGGTTAAGTTGGTTGGAGGGAAAAATAAGACATGGTGGATTAATGATTATAAGTTACATAAATTTGGATTTGTTTTGGATTGTCTATAACTTGTATGTAGAACTACTTAAAAAAAATAAAAAGGAGATAGGGCTAGCGAGTAGTATGGTGGTTAAGGCATCCGGATCTCACAAAGCTGACTGCAGGCTTGAGTACCGATCCTGGAAGCTTGAAAAACACACAGGATGCATGTATGTGCATGCCCAGAATCTGAAAGAAGGGAAAAAATGAAGGAGAAGGGATTATGGCATGATCGATTCCCATGAGAGATGGGGTGTTTTCTCTCTCTCTTTCTCTCTCTCTCTCTTTCTCTGGTGAGTACACACACCTTTTGACAAAAATTAAAAATAAAAAGATGAAGATAAAGAGAAACTAAACTATTAAGCTAAAGTTAAAAAAAAAGTGAAGTTATATCTACCTCTGTCAGGTCTGTATTTTTACAGGATGAATCATGTATGGCCTACTCCTGTAGGCTTCATTAATGTTACTATTTGTCCCATAAAGCACATTTTGCGCTATCATTTTCCCTACTAAAGAATAAAACTGGGGCTGGCTGTGTGGCTTGATGGTTAAGGCAACTGGATCCTACATGTGCAGCTCCCTTAAGTCACCCATTTGAAAGCAAAAAAATGACATTGATTCTTGAGTTCTAGAAACCTCTTCAGATAGCTCTACTGGTCCCAGAACCTTTACTTTTTGGTGTTCTGCCTTTAGTTTGTATGTGGTGAGTGATTCAAAAGGAAGTGTTTATGGGACCAGCAAATATATGGTGGTTGGGGCCCTGGACTCCCACGTGGCTGACTGTGGTTCGAGTCCCAGACCTGGTGGTTTGCTTTCTCACTTTGTCTCTCTCTCTCTCTGGTGAGCACACATATTCTACAGGAAATTAAAAAATAACAATAATAGTAATAATATATTTTTTAAAAGAAGTGTTTATGGTTACTTGCAGCTTACTGTTTGTCAGGAATGAAGAAAATATACTATGATTTTAAGATTTTCTCTTGAGATTAGAATTGTGGTCAGGTTCCTTCCAAGTTATGTTAAAAATATTGGTTTTTATCCAAGGCTTAAGCAAACAATGAATTGTTGTTGTTGTTTAAGGAGAGATCAAACACATGTCTTGGATGTGTACATATGTGTGGGCTATGGGGACCAGTTGCTGTATGGCAGTTTCTACTTTGAGATCATTCAGATTTGTACTCCTCCCATCCCCAACTGGTTGGCTAGATGATGTCCTTCAAAATGATTTAGTTTTAATCCATCATAAAATGGGTGCAATTTGAGTTGCTACAAATTTTTAGGTTGTCAATGCCGTAGCTTAACCGAGTGATTTGGTAAAAATCCAAATGTAAGGGAGCCAGCCTGTAAGGGTCTGGATCCTACACGGTCCACTCACAGGTCCTGGACCTGGTGGCTTAAGAAACACACCAGGCACATGTGCATGTGTGCCCAGTATCCTAAAAGTAGGGCGAAATGGAGAAGGGATTACGGTGTGACCATTCCCCATAGGGGATGCTTCTTGCTTTTCTCTATTGCAGTGAGTGCACATGCTGTCTGGCGTAATTAAAAAAACTCCGTATTTGAGTGACTAGAACTTCTCACTATAAAACCGCAAACACGATAGCCATTAAATTGGACTTGTTGAGCAGTTGCAGTCATTTGTCATGGACAAAGCAATATAGTGATAAATCATTGTTTGTGGTATTTATTTTAAAAGAGATTAATTTGGAAGACATAATGACTCAATCATAAATGAAGACAGTAATTTTTACTTAACAAATTATTTAATTCTCTTAAATAATTTCAAAGTAATATGTAGCCATTGTGGTGAAAATTTTTCCTTAAAGGTAATTATCATGATTATTTATTGATTAGGGATTATCACATTACTTTATTCAATATGTTGTTTTTTTTTTTTTAAGAGAGACAAGTTTGGCATAGGGAACGTGCCTTTGCCAGAGAGACAAAGAGAGACAGAGAGATAGAAAGTGAAAAATCATCCCCCCAAGGTGGGGGGATGATTGGGATCTTGGGCAAGCATGTACACATGGGATTCACCATCCCTTCTCCATTCTCCTCTCGGGATTTTGGGCACACATACAGATATGCCTTGCGTGAATTTTAAGCCACCACGTCCAAAACTTGAACCAGGGTCAACTACGTGGGAGTCCAGTGACGTAACCACTACACTATCTGCTGGTTCCACTTAATTCACTATGGTAACTCTGCTACGTCTATTTCTAGAGTCTCCATATCTCGTTGATTCTGACGGTAAAAACCAATTTATAGAAATTGATGTCTAAGCAAACCAATTAACAATAAGAAGTCTTCAAGAAGAGAGGCTTTAATTATTGTGTTGTTTCTTAAGGGCCATTTTCATTAAATTTTTTCAATCCCTGTAACTTACTGATTGTATTGATAAGTATTTATTAATTCAGTAATAAAAATTCACTATGTGCTCTGTAAAGAAAAAAAAATCCCTTTTATCTTTATTTTGTCTTTGTTTAATGCACATGTGAGAGAAAGAGAAAAGCACCTTCTCACAGGGTCTTATGCCAAATCCCTTTCCCTAGCCTTCCAGGTCTTGAGGATCATGGACACCTGTGTATTAAATCCCATTGTGTTTTCAAGCCCACCTGGGGATCCAAACCCACCACTGCCTAAATAACTTCTAACCTTGTAGGGCACTTGGGTTAGTTACTGCTGCATCACAATGGCTGGGCCTGTCACTGGCTTTAAGCGCTTGATTTCTTATGTATCTTTAATGTTACTCAGCCTTAGCACTGTTGCTATTTGGCACTGAATAATTCCTTGTTGTGAGGGCTGCCCTATGCATTGTAGGATGATTGACAGAATTCCTGACTTTACCCACTAGATGCCAATAGTACCGCCTCTCCCCTCCCCAGTTATGACAACCACAATCTCCAGACATGGCTAAATTTTCCTAAGGGATGGGAGTGATTAGGGATCATTCCTGGTTGAGAGCCACTCATGTATTTTTGGGGCAGATTTTCTTTTTTTTTGGAGAGTTTTTTTTCGCTATAGGGTGCGTGCGCTCGCCAGACAGACAGAGAGAGACATAGAGACAGAAAGCAAGAAATCACCCCCCAGGGGGGATGGTCACGCCGCAGTCCCTTCTCCTCCATTCTCCTCTCGGGATCTTGGGCACGCACGCACACGTGCCCGGCGTGAGTTTTAAGCCACCGGGTCCGGGATGTGAACCGCATTCAACTACATGGGAGTCCAGCGACATAGCCATTACGCTAACTGCTGGTTCCCGCAGATTTTCATTTTTATTGCCAGCAGGCGTGTGTGCTTGCCAGTGAGAAAGAGAGAGAAGGAGACAGAGCGAGCGAAACTAAGCATTCCCTGTTGGGATGTTGTCATGCCACAGTCCCTTTTCCTCCATTTCTCCAACTCTTGGCAATTTGGGGCACAGATGCACACATGCCAGGCATGATTTTTAAGTCACCTGAGCTGGGATTCAAATTGCAGCTGGTCACATGGGATCTAACTTCCAATGCACTGCATTTAACCACTGAACTAGGGGGGTAGCACAGATTTTTTAAAAAATACATTTATTTCTTCCATTAGTAAGAGAGAGAGAGAGAGTGAGAAAGAGCACCCACACAATCTTGATGCCATGATCCATCCCAGCCTTAGCCAGTCTCAGGTCATGGGCACATGCATGGGAGGCCTCTGAATATGAACCCGGAACCTTCCTATGTGGGTCAGCTTCACAGAGGGAGCATTGTGCTTTTTTCCTGCCTTACTGTCCATTCATGTTTTGGGCAGGCTTTTAAAAAATTGTTGTTGGGAACAGCAGATGGTGTAATGATTACGTCGCTGGACTCTCATGTAGTCCGCTATGGTTGGAGACCCAGACCTGGCAACTTAAAACTCATGGTGGGCATGTGTGTGTGCTTGCCCAAGATCCCGAGAGGACAACGAAGGAGAAGGGATTGCAGTATGACCATCCCCCTGGGGGGTGATTTCTTGCTTTCCGTGTCTCTGTCTCTGTCTGTCTGGCAAGCACATGCACCCCATAGCAAAAATCTCTCTTAAAAAAATTACTATTATGCTCCTTAATGTAGTTTCTTCATGTTTCTTGTCTTGGGCTTTGTTGAGCCTTTTATGTTTTCCACCAAATTTGGAAAAACTTGTCATTATTTCTTCAAATACTGTACTTCTGTGCTCTCCCTTCTCCTTAGGGAACTCCAATGACATATGTTCCTAATACCAATCCTACAGTGTTTATAACATAATTATCTTCATTTTGCATATGAAAAATTTGAGGCATACAGAGGATAAAAGAACTTGCACCTACTGCCACAGTGAATAGATAGTTTGGAATTTGAACCCAGGCTGACCCCACAGTTGGGCTCCTATCGCTTGTTTTATTGCTGTAGTCACATTTTCAGCCATGATAAGCCATAACTTACTTCCATGTCTCTTCTTTCTTGAAGGCCGAGCTATGGAAAGGTTGGTCATGGTCTCTGCTGTAGAGAGTGGGCAGTTCAAGCATTCTTGCAGTTTGAATGTTGCACCCTGCATTATCTGCTTTATCTAGCAAGTCATAGGGGAAAATATGCCACAGAAATTACACTGAGATCAGTTCTTTCCCTTGTTCAAGTTGCTGCTAGGATGTCAGGAAATGAGTCACTTATTCGATTTCCTTCCTTGTGGATTACCAGGGATCATTACAGTCTACATACAGTAAATGATTCCCAAGTCGTCCTGCAAGAGGGAATACAATTCTACTCTGCCCTAGTGGATTGAAACTTAGAAGTACCTTATGAACTCCACTAGATTGTCTAAAATAAAATTCAAAAATATATATAGTAAATTGTGTGTTTTCTTTTCCAGCTTATAATTACCTCTCTTAGAAATAAAATTAAGAAAAAT